TTTACCTATCAGTCATGGGCAACTGTTTATTTTGATAGCTCCATGGATTCCATTGACTTTAACAAAGTCAATAAAAAAGTTAGTTGTGGACCCTGTACCTAGTCTGCCTGCGTGTAGACTATGACTCTACTACTGGGAAACCTCTTTTTCAAGTTCATAAATCTCTAGGTGCCTCAATTTTCTCATCTGTAAAATGGGATAAAAATGGTGCATTCTTCATAGGATTGTTGTAGATTAAATGTTTTAACGCCAAGGGCTTATTCAGCACAATGCCTGGTAGATAGTAAGCACCCAAAATTAGTTGCCACCACCGTTGGCATTATCATTGCCACTTGTACTTATTTAATCAGATTTCTATTTAAGTGTATATGGGCTTTCTTTTTTACAAATAGTGCTTCAGGAAAAAAAACCTTGTGTGTTGATTATTTTACACATGTGTAAGTTTAGGGATGCTTTACAACAAGTACGATATCAAGGCTAAAGAGCATGTTGTCAAGAGCATATTTAATTTAGACATTTTTCAAATTGAATGCCACAGAGATTATATCATGTTACCCTCTCACCAGCAGTTTGATATAATTTAAATAACAACTTGATGGTTGCTTTCTGATGTTACTTATATTTCTGGTATTATTTGTAGTTAAAAATGACAACTTTGAAAGTTTTTCTTTTACCTTCATTGGAAGCATAATCCTCTCAGGAGGGCCTGTTCAAACAACCTTTTAGCTTTTTAGTATAAAATATGCATGTTGGTAGTTTATACTTGCAGAATTCTCACAGATAATTTGTTAGAGAGAGGAAGATAATCTTTTTTCCGCCATTCTTTATTTTCATATATTTATGTTTCTATGGATATGAATTATTTCAGGGTTTTGATGTGTTTTTATTATTCATAATATTAGAATAATCTTATAAGAAGTATGCATCTTTAAGAACCAAGACTGTGAGGGTGAACTGAGATTAGCTTTTCAATTTATTTTGAGTACTAGTCTTGAGTTATAGCAAGATTTTTTCTTTGTCAAGAAAAGCTTAAGAAGACTTTTCAAGGACTTGAAGGAAATACAAAGACAAATAAATACTGACCTCTGCCATACTTAGCTCTAGTAGGTGAGCTACATGGGAGCCTTTCCTAGGTTAGACAATGTGTTGTCAAAGAATGTGTTAGTCAGAACTTTGGACATTACCTAAACTATTCAGGTAAATGACTGAAAAGTAAGTGAAAGAAATAAAAATAAGTCATCATAGAATACAATACAGGGACATAGTGCTATAGTAACCAATAAAATGAGCAAATGCTTTAAATAGAATAGATAGGATATTACTAAGGAAAGGCTGTCTAGTCTGATGTAGCAATTGGGAGATAATTGGTGTGAGGAAGCAGCTTCAGTAGCATTGTGAAACACAACTGGAGAAGAGTGAACAGCTGGAAAGTAAACAGGCTGATCTTTGGAATAGTCATTAAGGCAAAAGAAAGAAAGATTTTCCTCTTTAAAAAAATCTCAGTAACAATCTTTTATTCATTTCAAAATTATGGCTTTAAATATCTGGTTTTAATTTATTCATAATTTTTATTTGTATATGATACCTTTAAAGATGCTAACTATGTGGGGGTTTTTTAATATTTCTTTTCCTAGTTACTGTTTTGTTGCTTCTCACTTCGTTACATTAAATTAATGCAGCAAAATAGTCCTCCTTTTATGAACTAACATAACTAGTCCATTGAAATTATAGTTAAGATTCCACTGAATATGGAAACTGCCATATTAATCATGGAAATGGAGTAGAGCATTAGTTGCACTGGAAATATTTTAATAATGATACACCATCTTTTGTCATTTATAAAGCTCTCCCATGTATAATGTGCACCCAAATTTTTGGCCCAAACTTTCAGGAAAAAATTATGTTTTAATTTTTTATTGTTTTTATTTATTCATGTTTAGATACTTATTTTTTTGTATTATAAGGGAAGTTTAGCATTTATTTTTGAACATAGGGTACAGGAAATTTAATGTAACAAATAATTACAAAGCATAAGAGTGGATACAAGGTATTTCTGGTATTACCCATGTGTAATATGCAACCTTATTTTTCCCTCAAAAATTTGGGCAAAAACTGCGCATTATACATGGCAAAATGTGGTATGTAACTTACTACTAAAATAGTAATTTGTGTTGTCCTTTTTCTTGCAGTTTTACTTATTTTTATAAGCTGAATGACTTAAATCATTTATTTAAAATAATTCTATTTAACATGTCACCTTGGTAGATTCCTCCCCATCAAACCTACCACTTACTGAAATATGTAGAAACTAAGAAACTAAGCCGATCCTTATTCATTAGTCATAGATACAATAAAATACAATGAAATCAATTTAAGGGAGTCTTATACATGTATATTGTGTATGCAACATTCTCTGACATCATCTGGCAGTTATCCCTTGCCCACAATTCCCTTCTGCCTCAGAAGAGATCTCATTCCTCCTTCACAATTTGGGACCCCAAGATTTCTAATTTTTTTTCCTTTTTTATTGAATTCATAGGAAGTGACATTGGTTAATACATTTCTTGTTTTTTTTAAATCAACTTTACCAAGATATAATTTCTGTACATTAAAATTAACATATTTTAAGTATACAGATTGATGATTTTGACAAATGTAGACAACCAGGTTATAACATTCTAGTCAAAATGCATTTCCATTTCTGCCCTGACCAGTGTAGCTCAATTGGCTGAGCATCATCCCACAAAGTGAAAAGTCACTGGTTTGATTCCTGGTCAGGGCATGTGCTTGGGTTGCCAGCCCAGTTCCCAGATGAGGTGCATGCAAGAGGCAGCCAATCGATGTTTCTGTCTTACATCGATGTTTGTCTCCCTCTCTTCCTCCCTCCCTTCCCACTCTCTAAAAATAAATAAATAAAATCTTTAAAATATATATATATATATATATATCCATTTCCCAGAGAACAACTACTTCTTTCCATGTTTAATAACTTAAATGTCTAATTGTATTTCTGCTTAATACTCATGAATATAATTTTACTTATCAGGAGTACCTTGAAACAGCCCCTGAAATTACAGGGTTTTTAATATAAAGGAGTCTATTTCAGGTTGGCAAAATAGTTCATGACCCAGACAGGGTGAAATACAGTTGACCCTTGAACAACACAGGTTTGAAATGCACAGGTCTATTTATTTATATGTGGATGTTTTCCCCCAATAAACCCATAGTCAGCTCTCTATATCCCAGGATTTATATCTGTGAATTCAACCAACTGAAAATTGAAAACAGTATATTTGATCGGCTGTTGGGAATTAGGGGATAGTCCTAGAACCAGTACTACATGAATGAATACCAAGGGATGCCTGTAAGTTAACGTTTTTGAGGAGTCAAAAGTTATACATGGATTTTTCACAGTGTTGGGGCTGGTCCCCCAAAACCCACTCATTGTTCAAGGGTTTTGTTGAGTGATTTTAAGAATGTCTGACACAAAGTAACTTTTACTGATATAATTTATAATTAGCAATTTAATGTGTTTTCTGTTTATTTAATTTTTAAGAATTGTCTGAAAATAAAGGGTATATTACAGGGCATAAACAACCTGTCTTCAGGACTGTTAAATGCTGTTTATAGTACTGTTGTTAGCTTAAAATAAAATCACAATATAAAAGTTTCTCATTTTGTTTAGGAAATTGCACACTGTGGAAGAACTCTTAAAAATTTTTTTTTTTTATTCACCCAAATCTCCCAGTCTAGACTCTCTCATTCCTACAGCTGGATATAGAGAATACCTGTTGGTGGTACTTAATTCAGCATCCTGCAAATGAATGAGAAAACTATACAGGATTGGGCAAAAATAGGTTTACAGTTGTGAATACTCAAAACACAGCTCATTTTTCTGTTTTATTTATTATTTTTCATATGTACAACTGTAAACTTTTTGCTCCACCTAGTATTTCAAGTAATTAAAACATGCTTAAAAATGTTTTTGATTAAAAGAGGGTAGATAGCATTTTTCTCATTTTACAGATTAGTAAAAATCAAGTCAAATTAAGTTTAATGTGCCTTTGTAGTTTTTGTTGTGCCTCTGAATTAAGATCATATTTTGATGACTTTTAGTGGCTGTTTAGTTCCATGCTCTTTGCTATAAGACTACATGTGCATTTCATGAATTGCAACTGGTAAATACTGACAGGCCTGACAGGTTATAAAGTAATTTTCTTACTGATTGAGTTTTTAACTTGAATGTTTTACATTGATACAGTTCAAATTGAACCTCGTGTAATTATTAGGCCAGGGTTCTCTGTCCTCAAGGTTGATTTAAATTACACTAATTTTTAACCCTAGTTTTTGGTATATACCACTCACCATTATTGTAACAGTAATAATAGGTATGTAAATATAAAGTAGCTAAAAGTAGTATGAAATAATGAGGTAACAAGGCGGTTAATTCTTTTTATTGATTGTTTCATATTTATGTAGAAATTACTGAGCAACGTTTTGTGTTCATAGAAAACAATTCAACTGAAGTGTGTTACTAGATTAAGGGACATTTCATTTTAATTTATAGAAGAATATTCTGATAATATAGAATGTCAGAAAGAGCCATAAAGGGAGATTACACTCTACAGTTGGATGTTTTACAGACTAAGACAATCAGCTATATGTCTGGATAGCACCAATATATACCTAAGTCAATTTTTAGGGTTCTTTCTGCAATATAAATACATTGTCTTATGTCTTTATCTTTTCCTTTTCCAGTACTCCTCTTGGTATTTTTTCCTTATACTTATCTAATTCACAGAGTATTCAGTTTTAAAAAAAAATATCTAAAGAACTTGGAAGTTCTTAAACAAGAGGTTTTTGGGTTTTTTTTAATAGGAGTTTAGTGGAGGAAAGAAGTTAAACCCAAGCATATAAAACTTTCCAGACAATGGTCAGATAAAATTTAATGTTTAGCATGGAATAGAAAAAGATTAACTGTAAAATATGTTGTTCCACAGGTACTGTGAGAATAGAGATGTTTCGAAATATGCAGAATGCAGAAATCATCAGAAAAATGACTGAAGAATTTGATGAGGTATAGCATTTTAATATTTATGCAAATGGCCTACTTATACTTTTAAATGGTGAATATGTTATTTTTTGTTTGATTTAGTGTTTAGTATAAGTTATAGTATTTTCTTTTGTATATGCTAGTCCATGCTACTAATTCCAAAATTAATGGTTTCTGGGGGTTTGATTACATTTCATGAAGGTAACATTAAATTGATGACCATTAAGGATAAGAAAATTAGTGGTATGAAATAAGTTCATTCTTTACATTCATTCTTGAAGACCACCTAAAATTTCCAAATTTATAAGGCATGTTCAATAGTGTCATATTCTGTAGAATGTTAGTCCTATTAAATGTTTTAAAGAAAAAAGAATTTGTAGGTCAAAGAAGTGGGAAAAGATTTCATACTATGTCTTAGATATTGTCACAGAACAAGATCTTTCTAAGGTTCTCAAAAATTCTATTGGAGAAAAATCTGCCTAACTTCAGTCCATAATTCCCAAAATTATTTCATGTGTCCTTTAACTGCCACCACCCAGAGAGAGAGAGAGAGAGAGGAGAGAGAGAGGAAAGAGGAGAGAAGAGAAACTTAAGCATGCATTAGGGACACTCTGAGAATATTGTGTTTTCTTTGCTAGTCTTCACAAATTAAACATGCAGAACTCATTTTTCTGCATTTCCTTTATTTTCACTGAAATATTTTTTCAAGTAGTTTTACACAGATTATTGAAACACATAGTTTTTACTTCTGTATTGTATTTATAGTGAACTCAGTTCATGCTTTAGGCCACCATTAATTTCATTTTTAACATTATGCCTTTTGATTAAAGTAAGAATTCTATTTTCTGGTAGATTTTTTTTCTTTCAACACAAACAATAAAGGTTGGTTTTATTCTAGGTCCACTCTTTCAGTGGAGTGGGCTCAGGCTTTGTTGTTGTAGTAGTAGTAGTAGTAGTAGTAGTAGTAGTAGTAGTAGTAGTAGTAGATATTTTTATTCTAAAAATGTACTGCTCACATAACCAAACACAGATTGCATAATATATGTCTTTCTCTTCAGGTGTTCTTTTTTACTCTAGTAGTACATGCCAAAACATTTTCATGTGCATATTTACTGAAACATTCTGTTTATGTCTTTCACACTATTTAGTCACATTCCTTGGGAGGTAGAAGAGACCTTACATTGTGATCCTGTGTGCGTGTGTGTGTATATATATATGTATATGTGTGTGTGTGTATCCATAATTGCTTCACTTCTGTAATCCAGTAAAGCTCTTAATTTTGAAAAGGACCTTTTTGTAATTTAATTAGTGGCAAACCTGGCTTCAGTTAACATGAGGCTATTTAAAATTTTTATTTATTCCAGCCTGTAAATATCTGTATATATTCCTAGTGATATGTTGATGCTCTTGATTTTAGGGGGCTGGCCTAGATTATTTTGGGGTATATGATGGAATATAAGGTATATACATGGTATTAATTTTGATAATTAAAAAACTAGATTCTGAAATACACCTGTGGGATCACTTTTCCTTAAAAAAAAATTATTTTTGTTGTTACTTCATGAGTTTACATGTGGCAGATTGATAAGAAAGCCAGATTAAGGTGCCAGGTGGTAAGTTTACTGACCAGCTACTGAACTAACTACCTTGAATTATAGGTGATCAGATGACAGATTGAAAAGTGGTATGCATTTTGGACCTTCATGGCACTAACACATGGTGGAATGATTATTGTTTTAAGACATTAATTCCCAAACTTTCTCGAACATCAACATCACCTAGGGATATTTATTTTGTTTAATTTTTCAATTTTTTAAAATTGTAATTTACATTCTGTATTATTTTGTATAGTTTCAAGTGTATAGCATAGTGGTAAGACAATCATATACACTGCAAAGTGTTCCCCTTGATATTTCTAGTACCCATCTGGCACCATACATACTAATTACATATTATCAATAATGTGTCCTATGCTGTACTTTACATCCTCAAGACTATTATGTTACTACAAATCTGTGCTTATCAATCCCTTCACCTTTTTCACCCAGTTCCTCAAACCCTCTCCACTCTAGCAGTCATCACTGTTCTCTGTATCTATGAATCTGTTTCTGTTTTGTTTGTTTATACATATTGTTCTTTAGATTTCATGCAGCATATTACCCTCTATGTCCATTCATGCTGTTGCAAATGGGAAGATTTCTTTTTTTTTTTTTAATGGCCAAGAAATACTCCATTGTATATACACACCAACAGTTTTTTATCCATTCTTCTGTTGATGGGCATTTGGGTTGTTTCCATAGCTTGGCTATTCTAAATAATGCTACAATGAACATAAGGGTGCATATATTCTATCAAATTAGCATTTTGGGTTCCTTCAGATATATATCTAGAGGTGGAATTGCTGGATCATAAGGCTGTTCCATTTGTAATTTTTTTAGGAACCTCAGTACTGTTTTCCACAATGGCTGCACCAATCTGCATTCCTACCAACAGTGCATAAGGGTTCCCTTTTTTCTTCACAGCCTCTCAAACACCTGGGTTCCTTGGTTAATTGATTCTGACAGGTGTGAGGTGATATCACATTGTGGTTTTGATATCCTTTTCTTTGATTAGTGATGCTGAGCATCTTTTCGTATGTCTAATGTCCATCTGTATGTTGTTTAGAGAAGTCTACTTAGGCCCTTTGCCCAATTTTTAATTGGGCTGTTTGTTTTTTTGGCGTTGAGATTTATAAGTATTTTATAAATTTTGGGTGTTAACTTTTTATCAGATGTATAATTGATTAACATGTTCTCCAATTCTATGGGTTGTCTTTTCATTTCATTGATGTTTTCCTTTGCTGTGCAAAAACTTTTAGTTTGATATAGCCCCATTCATTCATTCATTCATTCATTCATTCATTTTTGCTTCCCTTGCCTGAGGAGAGGTAGCACAAAAAAACAATGTTACAAAGAGAAATATCTGAGATTTTACTGTCTGTGTTTTCTTCTGGGATTTTTATGGTATTGAGTCTTGCATTTAAGTTTTTAATCTATTTTGAGTTTATTATTGTCTGTGGTCTAAGAAGATGGTCTAGTTTCTTTTTAGTTTTTTGCGCATAACAATTTCAATTTCCCCAACACTATTTATTGAATAGAATATCTTACCCCATTGTTTGTTCTTGCCTTCTCTGTCAAATATTAATTGACCATATGGGTGCGGATTTATTTCTGGGCCCTCTATTCCGTGCTATTGATCTATATGTCCTTTTATGTCAGTGCCATGCTGTTTTGATTAATCTAGCCTTGATATCAGGTAGCACAATTCCTCCAACTGTTTTTTCTTAAGATTGCTGTCACTACTTAGGGTCCTTTGTGGTTCCATGTAAATTTTTGGATTTTTTTTTCTGATTCTATGAAATATGCCATTGGTATTTTGATAACAATCGCATTGAATGTATAGATTGCTTTGGATAATATTGACATTTTAACAATGTTAATTTTTCTATACATGAGCACTGTATATGCTTTTATTTGTATCTTTAATTTTTTATTAAGTGTCATAATTTTTCGAGTACAGGTCTTTTACCACATTGATTAATTTTTCTTAGGTGTTTGTTTTTTTGTGTTTTTTTTTTTTGATGCAACTGAAAATGAGTTTGTTTAATTTTTTTTTTTTTGTATTTGTCTTTACCATTTATTCTTCCTACACCCTGTCCACCTCCACTCATGCACCTCCTCCCTGTAATCACCACAATGTAGGCCAGGTCCATGAAGCTTTATTTCTCTTTTTTTTTTTTTCTTTTTTGCTGGATCCCTCCACTCCCCATCCCAGGGATTGTTTTTTTAGTTTCCTTTCCTGATAGTTCATTATTGATGTATAAAAATGCAATCAATTTCTTGATATTTATTTTGTATCCTACTACTTTGCTGAACTTATTTGTTAGTTCCAATAGTTTCTTGGTGGAATCTTTAGGATTCTCTATATACAGTAGCATGTCATAAGCAAATAATGACAGTCTTACTTCTGCCTTTCCAGTTTGGTTGCCTTTTATTTCCTCTTCTTGTTTGATTGCTGAGGCTAGGACTTTCAGTACTGTTTTGAATAAGAGCAGTGAAAATGGACACCCCTGTCTTGTTCCGCATCTTAAGAGAAATGTTTTTAGTTTTTTCCCATTGAGTATCATGATCCCTGTAGGCTTGTCATACACAGCCATTTGTTATGTTGAGATTTGTTTGCAGTATTACTATTTTGCTGTGAGGTTTTATCATAAATTAGTGTTGGATATTATCAAATACATTTGTGGATATTGTATTAGTCTTGCATCCCAGGAATAAATCCCACTTGATTATGGTGAATGATCTTTTTAATGTATTGCTGAATTTGGTTTGCTAATATTTTGTTGAGGACTTTAGCATGTATTTTCATTAGGGATGTTGACCTATAATTTTTTTCTTTGTAGTGTCTATCTGGCTTTTTTTTCCCTAAGATTTTATTTATTTTTATAGCGGAAAGAAGGCAGAAAGAGGGAGAGAAACATCAATGTGTAGTTGCCTCTTATGCTCCCCGCACTGGGGACTTGGCTTGCAAACCAGGCATGTGCCCTGACTGGGAATCAAACCAGTGAACCCTTTGGTTCACAGGCCGGCACTCAATCCGCAGAGCCACTCCAGCCAGGGCTCTGTCTGGCTTTAGAATTAGGGTAATGCTGGCCTTGTAAAAATGAGCTTGGGATTCTTTCCTCCTCTTGAATTTTTCAATAGTTTGAGAAGAATTTTTGTTAATTCATTTTTTATTTGATAATTTTATTTGATAAAATTCACCTGTGAAGCCATCTCATCCAGGACCTTTGTTTTTGCAAAGTTTTTAATTACTGCTCCAATTTCATTAGTAATTCATCTGGTCAGATTTTCTGTTTCTTCTTGATTCAGCCTTAGGAGAGTTTTATGTTTCTAGGAATTTATTCATTTCTTTTACAAATTGCCCAATTTGTTGGCATACTGCTGTTCGTTATATTTTCATATAATCCCTTGTAGTTCTGTGGG